TGATTGGCTAATGGTTACACAAGCCAACACATCGTTATGACATCATAAAGTGGCCAAAATCTGATCAGCTCATTTTCAGACAGGTTTTTATAGAAATGGATCAGGACAAAAAGAGAGAGAATCTTTGTTCCTGAAACTTTCAGAGTCTCTTTCCAAAGAGGGGACACATGTTGATGTAGAAGAGACATGAAGAAGAGGGGACACATGTTGATGTAGAAGAGACATGAAGAAGAGGGGACACATGTTGATGTAGAAGAGACATGAAGAAGAGGGGACACATGTTGATGTAGAAGAGACATGAAGAAGAGGGGCCACATGTTGATGTAGAAGAGACATGAAGAAGAGGGGACACATGTTGATGTAGAAGAGACATGAAGAAGAGGGGACACATGTTGATGTAGAAGAGACATGAAGAAGAGGGGACACATGTTGATGTAGAAGAGACATGAAGAAGAGGGGACACATGTTGATGTAGAAGAGACATGAAGAAGAGGGGACACATGGTTATGTAGAAGAGAAGAGGGACACATGTTGATTAGAAGAGACATGAAGAAGAGGGGACACATGTTGATGTAGAAGAGACATGGAGAAGAGGGGACACATATGTTGATGTAGAAGAGACATGGAGAAGAGGGGACACATGTTGATCTAGAAGAGACATGAAGAAGAGGGGACACATGTTGATGTAGAAGAGACATGAAGAAGAGGGGACACATGTTGATGTAGAAGAGACATGAAGAAGAGGGGACACATGTTGATGTAGAAGAGACATGAAGAAGAGGGGACACATGGTGATGTAGAAGAGACACGAAGAAGTGGATTTTGCTTAATAGGGAACCTTTAAGACGTAATTAAATATTGAAATCTCTTGAATAAACATCCCGCCAGCAGCTCTCGGTGGCATTAGGCTTCATCGATTTGTTTTGCTGGTCAATATGTTTGTGTAGTACTCCCACAGTATTAACCTGTTGACAGAGTCTTAGCACATAAGCTCACATGAGATAAGGGCTTTATCTTCACATCCCATAAAAGGGCAGAGAGCCAAAGTAAACAAGCAGCAGGTGAAAAGAGTCAAACATCCAAAAAAAGGCCCACATAATATTTTACTCGGGAGCTACGGGGGCAAAATCATGGCTAAAGTGAAAATAATCTCTTCCCTGCTACTGCTGAACATGGCAGTAATGTCACGTAGATGGTTATCGATGTTGTTTTGTGAAGACTGGGTGCTCCATGGAAGGAGGGAAGAGGAGAGAAGCTGTGTGAGGGAAATAACTGGAAACCAAAGAAGCTGCTGGAGATCGACTTGATGTCCTCCATTCAAATTAACCTTTAATAGAGGACACATTTTCTGCCGGAGTGTGACCTGAAGCCCACCGTGTTGTGTCATCTAACGTAAGGGGATGAAACCAAATAGCTTGGGAAACAACAAGGATTTGGGATTAAAATATTGACAGAAACTTCATAAGGGGGCATCACGCAACAAATAGTGGGATTATTATGCAACAACAAGGTCATGTGTGTTTCTGGTTCTTGAGTGTATCAGACTGTCGATCTCCTTATTTAAAATGTTGAAGCGGTACTATTAATTCAGTTTTTCGTCATCTAATTTTAGTGTCCTTTCCTGTCCTTCGTATCCTTTGCTTGTACAACATTTCATTTTTCAAAGAACAAAAGACACATGGTGCTTAAGCAAACCACCTAAAATAATGAATACGTGTTCTGCCAGAGTGACCTGCTGAAGCTCACTATGTTGTCCCATCAAACTTAACGGTTAGAAACTCAAATCCTAGTATGTTTATGTGTTGCCAGATAGGGGCGAGATAAAGGTCCTTAATTCCCTATTGAGCTGTAAAAGCAGAAAGAAATATGTGTTACAAACCTGGCGTTCTTGGAGGCGTCGGGGCGCAGGATCTTCACGGCCACCAGCAGAGGGCGACCTTTCCTCACATTGAAGGGGAACTCCAGGGTGGGAAAGTCCTGAGGGTTCTCGATTTCACACAGGTGCACCTTTCATACAGAAGGACAGACATTGTTAATCTCTCCTCCACCCACCACAAGTTATTTCAGGTCATCCCTCTATGTTCTCGTCACCGGCTTTAGCTTCAATAATCAGGATCCATGTATCTGTGATCCTCTCCAGAATGGAAGTAGTCAACACATACAGAGCATCAACTAGTTCCTGAACAGTGTCCTTCACATGCTGATATCCAAGAGAGGGAGTTACACAGTCACAAGATGGAGGAATAGAAAGCAGTATTCAATGTTTACTTCAGATTAGCTCCACGTCAGAAATGATCATGCTTGTCATATGTCTCTCTCCATAGAGGCTGAATCCATCATGTTTATACACATAGCTATCATATGCCTAAACAGCCCTGATGCTCTTTAGGTAATCAGACATCCTGTTACGCAGGGGCAGTTCTAGGGGGGGCCAACAGGGGCCAGTGCCCCCGTAACACTGACCAGAGACCCCCCTGTGGCCACCCTCCAAAAAAAGGTTACAATATTACGATTTATTGGAACTAAATCAAATCCGACCCGGATGTAGAGTGGAGATTAAACTGGTCATTACCTTATAAAAGCAAATACCGTTTATTTTTTTAAATTAAATTGTCACTTAAAGTTACTAAAACAAATACCTTTACAAAAACAAATACAAATTACTGTATTTTATGTTTGTTTTACACAATTACTTTATACTGTCTGTCTTTGTCACGCGCTTTTATTGTGCCCCTCATGAAATGACTGGCCCCAGCCTGGCCTCCCCCCCCAGTAAAATTGGTCTAGAACCGCCACTGCTGTTACGTACACAGCTACAGTTGGGCCTTTGTTATCATGTGCTACTGATATTAGAAGAGTAGATTCTGTGTTTTCCCGACACCCTACCTCTCCGAACTGTCCTTCTCCTAGCTTCTCCTTGAAGACGAGGAAGTGGCGGGGCAGCTCGGGCAGCGGGGCGCCGTCGGCCCCCGGGCTGCAGGAGGTCAGCGCGGGCACGGCGTAGGTGTTGTTGCCGCTGACGCCCTGCAGGCTCACGATGTCCGCTTCGGCGTAGTGAGGCACGCTGGGAGGCAGCGGGGGAGACACGGGGGGAGACAGGGAGGGGTAGGGAGGAGAGCCAGGGTAGGGAGGGGGCTCCTCTTGAGTCGGGGGGAAACCCTTCTCCATGTCCATGTCCGAACCACAGGCTGCAGGGAGGAGGAAGAGACAGACATTAGAAGGACTGTGTGATTAAGAGCAGCTTTGTTTTGCTGTGAGACGGTCTGACCGAGAGAATCACATGCTATCAAATGTTCAGACGGCTTGTTGTGAAGGGATAGTTTGGATTTTTGGAGGGGATTTCATTAAACAACAACAGAAAAAGGCATTGTATTTTTAAAAAACAATACTTCAAAAAAGTTCCGTGCCGAAAACAGAAGCTTTAATATATTATATGATTGAAACGGATAATAAAAAAAACAGCTAGGAGCTACAGAGATGGATCAAATAATCTCAAACAAACAAGACAAAAGTATCTGCCATCTTTGATCAATAATAAGAGTTTTTAACCACATGCTCAATCTGCCTTGTGGTACCCATTTGACTGTTATCGCTGCTGCTTATTTCCTTGGCATCTGTTGAATTATTTAACAGTTCTCCAAATCCACACACCTGAACATCTTGTGATGGATGAGTAGGGCTTTTATTTGAATAAATCTTTCTGGGACATTGTGTTGGTCCATCTATTGGACTTTCAAACTAAATTAGATCCTCTGCTGTCCTTGCAGATCAAATTTGAAGTTTGAATCTAACAAAGGTTTAAAAAGTTACCATTAAAAAAGTTCACCTTGCACAAGGCCCTGAATGAAATAAGTCAGGGTCTTGTAGCGAGTGGGCTGAATACTAAGATGGGACACCTTTGTTAAAATGAAAATGCAGAAAAAACCAACTCAATGCTCAAACTGCCACGATCAGGAGGACTGAATTTTTATGTAACTGCTGCGAAGTTTAAACACGTATTGAACAAGATGTGTAAGTATCCTACTGAGACCTTAACATGAACAGTGTGGACCATTTTTTGAAATGTAACATAATTAGAGACAATAACACAACAGGTGTATGGGATCTTATATTTGATGCATCTATTCTGCATTCACGTGGTGTCGGAGTTTTTGCAAGCTGTCAGTGAGGTAACAAGAGGAACAAAACATGACTAGCTTTTTTTCTACCACAACGCTCTGGGCCCAACCTCGCCGTAAGCAATGAGCAAATGCACCTTTACTCACGTATTAAATATCAACTGTTTTGCTCACATGTGATTTCATCATTGTTTTTAGGGTGTAACCGATAGGGAATACTTCATAGGGCCCCTGGAGAGCTTTGATTTGATAGAGACATTTGCTGAGACACTGTAGTGACACACAGCCTCTGCTCAAACCAACCTTGAAGTTCTCTCTATTTTCCCCAATACTTAACCACTCATAAAAGAGCATAATCAACATGACACTACAAGACGCTTCAAGTCCTGTCCCTGGCAGGGTCAAACTGTCCTGATTTTGTCTGAAGAGAGATAGTGTTATGCAAATGTTAAGACACACTTGTAGTTGAAGCACAAAGAAATGGCCTGCCTTATCATACCGGTATGAAACAGCTCTCTTAAGACTGTTTGCATGTCTAGGAAAGAGGGGAGAAGAGGTCAAAGCTGAGATGATTAAAAGTAAAACTAAGCTCTATGAATAATTCCCCATCAGTACACATTGTTGGTTGTGGCCTAGATTAGTAAGAATTAGCATACACCCTCAGTAAGGTTAAGCATTATTTAAAAACAATATATTTTCAACCTATCCAACAGCTTTGAAATAAGTCAGTCTGCGTTCAAATCGATGGACCAACAATTCCACAAATGCCAAACTATCCCAACAAACAAAGTTGTTCTGAGTGGTTAGTGAACGAGAGGGACTAACTATGTGAGTAACAGGAGGAAGGTCAGACGCATGCAACAGATCGGAGAAGCATTTATGTGTGCGGTGACAATGAGAGCAGATCTAAAAGCCCCCCGCCCTGAACAGACAGGTAGAAAGGTGAGTAGGTGAGGAGGGGGAGACGCAGGGCCCCTCCTGACTGAGTTAGCCCAGTCTGAGGTCTCTTACCCTGGGGCACATTGAGGCTCTTTTCCTGAGCTGGCTGACTGGTGTTGGGGACAGGTGTGCAGCCTTTCCTGTGATCTGACAGGAGCAGGTGATAGGCTGGGTTGTTTAACAGCAAGACTGGGTGAGCAAACACACACACGGGACGAGGCGGGGTACACGCAGGAACCAAAATATGGACGGTACAATGATGCACATGACACACAAACACAATGACAACCATTAGCATGACACTGTTAGCATATCCATGACATCACAAGGGAAGGAGAGGAGGGGTTGCACTGACACACAGGAGCATAGCAAAAACAGGCAAAAGTGATCAAAACTCAACAAAAACCAGCGGATGAAATAATGTTTGTGTTACTCGTGTTGTTCCGAACTCACACAAGGCGCCTCGTAAAGACGGCATGCAGACCTCCTGTTGTGCAATGCAAGCGAAAGAATGTCTTACTCTCTTTCTACTCCTCCTTTTCCTCTACCCTTTCTTCCCCTCCCTCGGAACAATAGCTCTTTTGTGCTCGCTTCTCGTTGTGCATCTTCTCTGAGGCACTCTTCCTCGCAGGGTGCTGGATTTACTTTTGTTTGGTGTGGTGAAATTCAATGTAATACCGCTGTGTTTTCTTTATATGCATGCCACATTTACCACCCTATACTTTAGGGTTTGCTTTTTGATACGATCCACAAAGGGAGGACGTGACTGCAGGAGCACAGAGCAGTCTGCACAAACCACATGTATGTTTGTGAAGTATTTTAATTCTGTACATATGGGAAGTTTCATTGTTTTACATGTTCCACTGCATCCATGCCAATTCTGTGCGGTATACATCAATCTCTGCCAACATATATTTAGCGGTATATATATTTATATATAACACATGTGGTATGTTTTATTACACGCCAGCATGTTTTTTGTCACGCTACTTAACTAAACTTGATTTGTTTTTTACTTCACCGCTAACCTCTAACGTACCAAGGCATATTTAATAATGTACTCCAAAATCAGTGGACATTTTTAAACCACAGCTTTTTATTAGCAACAACCCCTTTCAGTTGGTCCTTTAATCTTCATGAGTACATTTTTGTATTTATCGTTTATCTAATAGGTTTTAGTTTTACACATATTACATTACATGTTAGACGCTTTTATCCAAAGCGACTTTCATACTCAATACTGTGGGCAATCCCCACAGGAGCAATTTGGGGTGAACGATGCTGACTGCAGCGGGGTTTGAACCTGTGACCCCCTGATACGAACACCAACGCACAACCCACTGCACCACATGCCTCCCAGTTGTATATTATAGTTGTATTAGCGACATCCTCTTTTAATCTTTCTTAATTCTTTTTTTGTATTATTACATTTGTTTTTTTATTATCGTTTTATTTCATAGGTTTTATTATATAATTGTATTTATCCACTTTAAAAAGGTAGGGTAGGTAAGAATGGAGAAACCAGCTCGAGTGCGCTAGAATTTGAAAATACACAACCGAAAAAAAATCTGCCACTTCCTTCAGACTTCCTTACAGAGCCCCTCCTCCAACACACACGAACGCGCACATGACCAATGAGAGCACGAGATAAGTTTGTGCACAGATGGAAGGCTGACAGGCAGGTAGGCCATCCAGTTATTTTAGCCGGGCCGGCTCAGATGATTGGTCGTGCTTTTTACAGCGCCACGGCTTCCACAGATGATATATTGTATGGATTTTTTGTCAAAGCATTTAATGTATTCATTGCTATCGGGATGTTAAGAGCATTTCATGGAATATAACAAAAAGTGGTTCTACATACCTCACCTTTAAGTCATCCTTTATTTTTACAGAGAGATTGTTTTATAATTCCTTTTTTACCTCCTTTTGTCCCTTGAATTGTTATATTATGTTCTTATGCTGCACATGTTTGACCTGGAGTGAATTTCTTGCTTTAAATGTGTGCCATGTTGTCAAAGCACATTATTATTTTATTGTATTTATTTACTTGTGTGTTTCTTTATTTTACATAGAGGACATTTAAAATAATATTTTGTAGTTTTTATCATTCCTTTCAACCTCCTTTTGCCCTTGAATTATTATGTTACAGTATGCTTTAAACCTGCATGTTTCTGTTTTAAACGTGTGCCATGACGTCAAAGCACTTTGAGCTGCACCCGGTGTATGAAAAGTGCAATACAAATAAAGCTTACACATTGTTTTTATCTTCAATATATTTCTTAAGCATGCTTCTTAGGTAACATTAAGCTGTCTTTGGCTCTTTTCTGCTGCAACAATGTAAATGTCCCCTCTGTGGGACTAATAAAGGTTTTCTTATTAACCGTGTCTTATGCATGTGTCCTCTCTCTCACCTGTGCTCTCCCTGTAGTCGCGCGGCCGCAGCAGGGCGCTGGGCTCCTGGTATTCTCCCTCCGCCTCGTGGTCTCGGTCGTCGGGGAAGGTGTGTATGCGCTGGTAGCGGCTGGAGTAGCTGTGTGTGTTGTTGATCACCACGTTGTCCGAGGGCACCGACAGGTGGACCCGCAGCTCGTCACCGGCGAGACTGCCCTGCGCC